CTGTCATTGTTGTTTGGCGGGTCTGGGCTGGATTTGAACCCACCACCTTAGGTGTATGTGGCTGGCGCCTTAGCCACTTGAGCCACAGGCGCCGACCCACTGCTGGACACAATTAAACAGGAAAGATATTATAATCTTGAGAAAGGCTGCCTAGTTGCACTGGAAATGAATAGAAAACCTAGGTGGGGAAGGACGGAATAAAGGAAAACAGAGGTGTCCCTAAGATCAGTAAAATAAGATACATTTATAAGTACACATTACTTGAATACAATTTGGTTGAAACATTTCACGGTAAGAAGCAGATTATTTTAGAGGCATATAAAGATTTTAAACAGAGTGATAAAGAAAATAAGGGTTTATCTTAGACTTAAATATTGAGGTACTGAAAAAAAAAAAAGAAATATATACCTTGGCTTAGTGCCTATAGCTCAAGCAGCTAAGGCCCACAGCTGGTGGGCTCAAATCCAGCCCGGACCTCCCAAACAACAATGACAACTACAACCAAAAAATAGCTAGGCAGGCTGAGGCAAGAGAATAGCTTAAGCCCAGGAGTTGGAGGTTGCTGTGAGCTGTGATGTAACAGCACTCTACCCAGGGCGACAGCTTGAGGCTTTGTCTCAAAATTAAAAAAAAAAAAAAAAGAAAAAAAAGAAATATATACCTTGAGTAATTCACATAAGAGGTTTATTATCCACTAGTATTTTTGTACATGGCCTATTGGCAAAGAAAATTTGTTTCTCTACCCCAGCTTTACACATTAAACATCCGTTTTAGTGCAGTTCATATCTTTGGTCAATTGGTTGGTAAAATCTCTGTTATCTGTGCTAAGTAAAGTTCCACTAAGGAGTGGGGAACCTGAGGTCTCTCAAAAAAAAAAAAAAGGTAAATGCAAAGACAGTTCTTTCAAGCAGCATATATACTCAGGAAAAAAGGGAAGCTGTTCAGTGATGTGAAAATTATGTAAGGACGCAGTGTTGAAGTTGTAGGATGCTTAGACCCTGATACCATTTCAAAGTACAAACAAACAACTGCCTCTTTCAAAGAGAACCATATCTCATTGGCAGCACGAATTAGCCTTCAACTTAATACAACACCTTTATGCAATATTTCCAAAGGAAAATACAGTAGAACCTCCATGGTTGACCACCTCCCTATATTGACCACCTCCTATGACCTCATTTTCATAGTCTGGACATGCATCATGTGTGCTCAATGGAAGTTCTTTATGTTGACCACTGCTGTATATTGACTAGTTTGTTACAGTTCCTTGGATGGTCAATTTACAGAGGTTCTAATGTATATAGTGTTCACAACTTTGGATGAATCAACTGATACTACTGCATATAGTGCAGGTTTTATACTCCATTCAGGTCATAACAGAAGATTTTCTTACAAAACGTTACTCACTTTGAGTACTTTTGTGAACAGAACATGAGGAGTAGACAGCTTCAACAACTATCAAGATAAATGTTGAGAAGTTGGACTGAATATGGTAAATTAAGTGGTTATATATAGACAGTGAACCTTCCAGGACAGGAAAACATGAAGGATTTATTGCACAAATAAAAAAGTATTAACAGATTCAGATGCTCTCAATGCCTTTTTTTTTTTTTAAGACATGGAGTTTCACTTTGTTGCCCTCAGTAGAGTTCTGTGCTGTCACAGCTCACAGCAACCTCCAGCTCTTGGGCTTAGGTGATTCTCTTGCCTCAGCCTCCCGAGTTGCTGGGACTACAGGTGCCTGCCACAATGCCCAGCTATTTTTTGTTGCAGGGCCAGGTTTGAACCCGCCACCCTTGGTATATGGGGCTGGCACCCTACTCACTGAGCCACAGGCGCTGCCCCCTCTTATTATATCTTGCATCAGCAAAATTGCTGTGCTAACACCACTATTTTAAGTGACACTTTGCAACAAGTTGTAAGTTTTTTTTTTTTTGAGACAGAGACTCAGGCTGTCACCCTGAGTAGAGTGCCCTAACATCACAGCTCACAGCAACCTCCAACTCCTGGACTTAAGCAATTCTCTTGCTTCAGCCTCCTAAGTAGCTGGGACTACAGGTGCCTGCCACAATGCCCAGCTATTTTTTGGTTGTAGTTGTCATTGTTGTTTGGCAGGCCTGGGCTGGATTTGAACCGGCCACCTCTGGTGTATATGGCTTGCACCTTAGCCGATGGAGCTACAGGTGGCCAGCCAAGTTGTAAGTATTTTTAACTATTATATATTTGTGCAATGTAGGACAGCATCCTCTGATTTGTATCACTGTCAAGTTGAACCACGAGGTATTGAGTGTGGATTTGCCATCTCATTCTAAAGTACATCGGCTATTGCAGGGTCAGGTGTTAGTCAAAATTTTATCTCTGCGAGAACAGATGTTAAATATTATGAAGAACAGAATCACAATGTGCATTATTGAAACATTTCTATAGGAATGTAGCGTTTCTGTGTGCTATCATGTCAAATCAAAATGACTTGAATTATTTCTTTGAAAGGTGAAACTAAGATTATATATGAGATGGGCAAAACATCCAAGAATTTTGAAAATTTTGTTTTCAAAAAATTATCTTTCTTTCAGAGAAATTTATCTTTCTTTCAAAAAACAACTTCTTTGAGAGGAAATTTTCTTTTTTTTTTTTTTGAGACAGAGCCTCAAGCTGTCCCCCCCTGGGTAGAGTGCCGTGGCATTACAGCTCACAGCAACCTCCAACTCCTGGGCTCAAGCGAGTCTCCTGCCTCCGCCTCCCAAGT